CTTACTTGATACTACCGCTTGCAGGTTGTGCTGTGACGTGATTGGCAGGTGTGACAGAAAAAGAGGAGGTTCAGTTAACTCTATGGACAAATTTAGTGTATGGGCACTTGCCTGGTTTCAGCATTTTCATATGGTTAATAAGCAGCTTGTCTCAATGGTGTGCTTGGCCAATATGCATTTCTCATCTAAATTAGAAAAAAAATTCACAAGTATTATAAAGAGACCCTCCAGATTTGAATTTAACAAATTATTCGTTGCATTTTCAATTCTCACCTCCTCTTTCCTCAGTAACTTAACTGAAAAGTGCCACTGCTGAATAATCCCTAATTTTCCTAGTATATCCTGTGTATGTTTCTTAGGCCCATGAAACATCTAAAATCTACCAGTTTGTGTTATCACTCCCTTTAATTGCAGCGGGATTCAGAGGAGAGTGAGGTAAGTGTAGGCTAAAGTGGTCTGAAAGGCATGATAAAAGAGTTGGGACTGTAACTGATCCTTAAAAGTGAATTTGAATTAAAGCGGAAAGTGAACACTACTAGTTATTGAACTGCCAGAGCAAAGATGTGGGCCTGTTCAGAGGAGTGCAACCCTGGCTGTAGCCACTGTCGATTAGATTAGATTGGTATCACTGCTAAACTTTAGAGGGCCCGGAGGGACAGATGGAGCACTGACCAACAAGGGTATATGAAAAAGGCACGCAGCGGAAGTGGGAGTTCAGAAAGATTTCCTGAGGTGAGCCGGTGAATGCCACACGCATCCCCAAATGTTTGCCTGTAGCAGTAACGAGTGCGCTTCCCCTGGTGAAGAGTCATCTGGGGATGTAAATGTAAATGAGGATGAGAGCACTTTTGAAGGAAAAATGAACAAGATTTGGTATCTCATTGAATTTGGAGATGAAGGAAGAGGACGAAATGGTCAAAGTTGGCCACCAGGGAGATTAAAGGAAAGAATGTCCCAAGGAAGGAATTAGCTGAGGTCCATCAGGACTACTTTCAGTTGTGCTTATTTGTTTTATGTGATTGTGTTTGCAATGCAAAGTCTTGGGGTGGGAGTGGGGGGTGAGCAAGGGAACAGCCCCAGAATTCCTAAACACCCAAAAAAAAGAAAGTTTCAGAATTGTGGGCTCCAAAAGAGCTCCATGCTCAGCTGAGCTCCAGGAGAGAAGGCCAAATGCCTTCTTCATAATACATTCAGCCAGGAATAAGTTCTTTGAATTTACAGCTTCTTAAAATAGGAGTCAATAAAACAAGAAGGAAAAGGCAAGTGTTTGCAAATTAACTGGGGGAGAAAAAACTTTTTTCTCCTAACACTATATTTCAAGTCCCTCATATTTATACGAATCTTAATGTTTACCAACTTGTAACCAGCAGGGGTTGATTCCATTATCCTCTATGGAAGTTACATTGTGAATGCTTATGTTGTTTTATTTTATATAAAAACAATATTATTGACTGAAACTTACAAAAGCTTCCTCGGACTCTAAAATTGGTCTGTGCCTCCATTTTTAAAATAATCTGTAATCAGGAAATCCATTCACTCCTTTAGAATTTTTATGCTTTTACGTGTCCAAGGAATGCGATATTTTCATACAGTCACGTCAAAACTGATAATTGTCCAGGCGGAGGGTGATTTTAAAGCAGAGCATGAAGAAGGGGTGAAGCTGTATATTAGAAGGTTGCTGAGAGGCGCTGTTTGGCACCTCCCGACCCCTGAATCTAAATGAGACCATTGTCTCTGGTGGATTGATCTTAAGGTGGGACCACAGCTTCCCTCAGCCCGCAGTGTTCTGAGTGAGGAGGAGGCAGGCTGCCGCTGCCCAGCCGGCTTAAATGCAGGCTCTTCTTAGCAGTAAACCACACGCATGTATTCATCATTGATTTCCAAATGATAGGTTTCTGTATCACTGGTTTGGGATCCACAGTCTCACATTCCTGAATCTATATTATGCCAAAAGAATAACAATTTGGTGGCTGGAAACAGAAATGGTTATTATACGGCTCCAAAATGCTAGCTGCCACAATCTGCTAAAAACAGCAGAAATTCACCCGTAAAAAAAGCAGAATTTATTTGTTCTTAAAAATAACTTTATACTCTAAAAATATGAGTTTAAGAAGTGTCATCCTGGGTTCAAAATATTTTACATTCAATACGTAAACACCTTAAAATATGTGACTAATCTTCTACGGTGGCATGGTTTTAGCTAATGGGAAATATTCAAAGAAAAAAGCAGAATGCTTTTTATGTCCATTTTCTTAGTTTGAGGTGTTTATTGGGTGAAGAGCTACAATGTGTGCTTTCTTTTCTTTTCTCCATGCCGTCCCAAATCATTGTGTAAAATGAGGGCAGAAAGACCCAAGCTTTGTTGGAATTTCTAAGAGTTCACTGGAGAAAGTGTTTTTGGTTTTTTTAAAAATAACTTTTCTCAGCGGCTCCATGAAGCATTTCCATTTTCATGCCCTGGCCCTGTGCTTGTCATATTACAGGACAAAATAACTGCTCCATGCAAAACCAGTATCGGCATCTACTGAGCTGGGGCTTTAGTTTCTTCTGATCTATTCAGGCTTCACTGCACTGTTTAACTGACTTTTTTTTCTTCTTCTTTTGAAATTACGTAGCTAATTTTCCATTTGATTGTTTATTTAAACCAAGTCTCACAGAAGCTTAGAGCGTAAGGGACACATCTTCATTGTGATCTTCTGAACTGCTAGGAGTGTGTAGGGAAAATTTCATCTCAGTCTTCTTATTCCCTTTTTCTCCAGTACAATCTATTCATTCCAACTAAGACCCTAACAGAGCACAATAATGATTCAGTTAAGTAAAAAACTCTGAGCAATTTCAATAAAAAACTTGAGCCAGTTTATCAAACATTTTCTTAGTGAACATATTCATAGTTTATACTTCTCCTGGTGAAAAAAGGTAAAGGTATTGTTTCATAGAGTGGCTTTTGCCACCAAACAGTGTCTGAATTCACTGTAACAGATGATTTGCCTTTTGACATGTACAGCTGGATGTACGGTATTTAATTTTCCTTAAGTAATATAACAGAAGAGTAATTTATATTCAAATTCAGTGAACATTTCTTAAACAAGAACTGTGTGCTCACCGTGTTTGGGGGGTGTTTATTTTTATTTTTCCTCTAGTAACTTGGAAAGTTTTATCCATAGTCCAGTTGACAGATTTAATCTTTATTATTTGTTATATATTCGGCCTGTTTCTTCATGCATGCAATGAAACAGGTAAATGAATTAGATATGAAAAACAAATATGCTTCATACACTGTGCCTTTAACATATTTTAATTCAAAAAATGGTCCCCATGAATTTCTCCTGCAGTGTGCTTGTGCTTCGGTCTCCGGCCATTTGGGTGCACCAGCAGCTCTCCCTGATCCCAGGGCACCCAGGGCTAGTGGATCTCTCAGCCCTTCGACACTCGGGCTGTACCCTAGACACCTGTGCTCCGAAGTCTTGCTGGGTCTGCATTTCTGCCACATAAATAGGCTTTGCTCCTGAACAGGTCCTTTTTGGGGTCTAAGGGAAGCACAGACTTGGCCTTGCACTTTGACGGATGAGTTTGGTGTGGGCCGGGCTAGCATGAATCACTCCTTCAGTTCCTCAGCCTGGCTTTTTCTTTCTCCTCTTTTCTGGGCTTTTCTTCTAAACAGTTCCTTGCAGTGTCCCCAACTACGCTCTGTAAATCCCCCGAGCCCATTCCCAGCCGCCAATCCCCAGTTCAGCATATCTTCCTGTCTGGCCTCTTTCAGGAGACCCACACGGATGGATTCCTTGGTTTCCTCTGACTGTTTATTGGATAATCTCTTCTCTCCTGGGAACTGAGGAGCAGTTACTGTGGAGGACTCTGTGGGCCCTCATCCTTTGCTGTCCCTGTCAGTCCCGCGTCTCTGTTGTAGGAAGTGGAGCTGCACACCGAGATCTCAGCCCTTGAGATACAGCACAGAGTCCTCCACTAAGGGGCAGTGGACACTGTGTTGTGATGACCATACCAGTGACAGTAGCAGTGAGGGCTTAACTGTCTCCTGTAGAGAGTCTAGAAAAGAGGTGAGCGGTTGTCCAGCAAGCACCGTCGAATGGAGGTCAATGTCTCCTCTCCCCCAGGCAGAGCCCTGGGGATGACTTTCCGAGTCCCCTGTCATTGCCCCTCAGGCTGTGTTTCCAACCAAACGCCACAGCTCTTCCTGTTGTGGAGCAGGATATTTTGAAATATGAAAACTGGAGACCTTGGGACATCTGTTTTTCTGTTAGTTGGGGCTGAATACAGGAGTCCTAAGAGAGCCGTTTGGATCGTGCCATTTCGTGGCTCTTCCTGTGCCCTTGTGAAGCTTCGCTTTCTTGGAAGCTCCAGTCTCAGCTCCTGAGAAAGGGTGCTGCTTTTTGAAGATCTGTGTGAGCAGGAAATCCCTCCAGGCTTGGGGTTAGACCTTGAACTTAGTGAGGACAGAGCTGACCCCAGAAAGCCATTGGAGAATTCACCCTGAGAAGTCAGGAACCCAGCAGCAGAAGGTGGGAGCAGCCATCCTCCTCCTGCATGTCCTAGAAATGAGTCTTACTGGTGTGCCCGCTCTCCATCTAAGGACGATCAGACACAAAATAAACCCAGGCCGAGGAACCGAAGGAGTGATTCATGCCAGCCCGGCCCACGCCAAACTCATCCATCAAAGTGCAAGGCCGAGTCTGTACTTCCCTTAGACCCTGAAAAACGCTCTGACTTTTTTCTGAAATATTTTAAGTGAGAAAAGAGTATATGCCAGTTTCTGAGCACATTGGTGTATATTACTTCTCTTTAAAAGTTTTTAATCTTCTTTGCAGAAGAATATTAAGTAATTAACTAGGTTACTCTTCCCCTGGAGGGTAAATGAGCTGTCCTGTAATTTTCTGATGTCCAATCCTTAGGCTTTTATTTTTTTTCTCATGGAGTATTGTCCTTAAAAAGATGCTTTGTGTCTAGATTTCTTCCTAAGGGCTGTTGCTGTTTTGTGTTCACAGGGAACGGGTATGGCAATCCTCGAAACTCACCAGGTCTGCTGGTCTCACCTGGTAATTTGAACAAGAATATGCAAGCAAAATCTCCTCCCCCCATGAATTTAGGAATGAATAATCGTAAACCAGATCTCCGAGTTCTCATCCCACCTGGCAGCAAGAACACGATGCCATCCGTGGTAAAGGCAACACCACATTTTACATAAATGTTAATAATGTTTTGAGCATGTTTTGCTATTTTGGTATTTATCTAACTTTATGAATTACATATCACCATCAACTGGTAGTGTTATTAATGCTACTGATGAAGCCTTGGGTGTTTGTAGCTATTAATTCTTGTAACAGGTTTGCATTTTCCTTTTCCAAATTAAAAAAAAAATCTTAGCACTGATGTTCTGGAACAAGGAAAACATTTTTTTAGAGCTCCCCATTTATAGTCAGAAAAAAATCAAATTCTGCCATTGGTCAGAACAGATGTTTCTTAGGCAAAGTAACAGATAATGAAGTACTGCATGGCATGGTGTTTTTACAGTAGTGAGCTGTTTATGTCCTTAAGGTATGCCAATGAAAACTACTTTCTGTATTTCCTAAATGAGCTTTCTCCTGTTAATTGGCAGCTCCTTTCTTCAGTGGATTTCAGTGTTCATATTGAAAAACATCACATACCTCTGCAGTGCCTTAATTCATTTTTCCATATATGTACTTCATGAAAATACCTGATTCGCAAAAGTAAACTGTTAAAATCTCAGACATTTCAAGAAAAGAAGAAAAGGTTGCATTTTACATCAAAAAGAGTGGTGACCCTTTTAAGGAAAAATAAATAGGTGTTAGGAGATACAAATTTAAATATCTATAAAATATTTCCAGACCCTACCACTTTCTTTCCCATGGGTTGATGTACCTGTGATAAAGAGAATATTGTGGAACCAAACTCCACAACAAAGAAACATCACTGCGCTCCAAATTAGCTGTGCTTAAGAATGAAAACATTCAGCAGACAAATTTAGATCATTCTGAAAACATATTTTCTTTCTTTCTTCCTTTGCTCTATGGCAAGCATCAGGATAGAACAGGCCTGTGAGCTGATTAGTTTATTATGGCACAGTGCAGATTAATTTTGAATATCAACCCCCAAAAATCACATAATCTGCAACATTCGCTTTGGAAAAGACTGAATCTAATAAATAAAACCTCCCAAGGGCTTCAGCCCGGCAGTGTGGGCTGTGCATGGCAGGCCATCTCTATCAGCAGATTTATTCCAGGTCCTTAAAACTGATGCTTGCCCAGGATTCTGAGAGGTTGGGCAGGGATCTCTCTCTCTCTCTTTCTCTCTCTCTCTCTCTCTCTCTCTTTCTCAGCCAGGTGTGACTGCCTCCTCCTCCAGCAAGTGAGATTCAAAGTACATTCTTTTTGTTCAAAATATGGTGGTGAAATCATGAACATCAAGACACTGACCTGCGCTGAAAGCCAGATAGGGTGTCTTCACATTTGAGATAAACACCTCATTAAGTGAAACAGAGAATGCCTTTATAAGGAGTTATCTTTAGAGTCTGGGTTTTAAAACTGTTTAAACTGTTGTGTCTATCAGAAGGTACCTTTCCTTTGGTTGAAAAGATTTTGCCCAATTATAAATATTTGCACACACTAATTAATAAAACTCCTTCCCCATGCTCTCAGTCCGAGGACGTCGACCTCCTTTTGGTAAGTATGTGAGCATACCCTTTCAGTGGCCAGGAAATAGGCAAAGCTAGCGGAAGGAGGGAGCTCTGAAACAATCGGAAGACTCTGAAACTGACCATGGTGTGTCCACATTGATTACGCTTAAATATGGGGAATTTCTAGTACGAGTCACAGGTTAAAAGAATGTCTGCTTATTATTTTCTATGCCAACAACCTCTGGAAACTGGAGGCCTTGTTTTCAACATTTTAAGATTTCTACAGGAAAATATTTATTTTGTCGCTTAAAACTAAAATACTTCTTGTTCTAAAAACGAGAGTGCCATTGTTTTAAATTGATGTATGTTTTTAATCTCCTTGCTGAAGGAGTTAAATATAGGCCTTAGCAGCTTTGCCCTCCAGTTGAATCAAGTTTAGAAGTCTCTGAAAAAAAGTGATCAGAGCACCACCTGCTGGTCAGGATAGAACATGACCACCTACCGCCTGCTCTGCTGAACAGAGAACTGAACACAAAATCTACCATGGTTGATTTTAATTTTTTTAAATTTGCATTTGAATAAAAATTGAAACAATGGAAGTACAGTATACATATTTCATCAGTTCTCAACATAGTCTGTTTTTACCCATAATAAAGCTATGGTACTTGTTACTAGTTCAGTTGCCTAGGAGATACTGATGTAATGGGTTACTATGGCAACAGCTGGTCTCTTGAAGGATTGTAAATGATAGGGTTGGCAGAGTTCATAGAGACACATGTTAAATGATTAATTTCATGAGCTTTGTACCAAGTTATCTCTTTATGTGCAAAACTAATCCTGAAATCTAGAATTTTAACTTTTTTTTAAGAATTCCATCAATATTGTCTTTTTATTTACTTTAAAAGAATCAACGGATAAATAACTCCCAGTCTGCTCAGTCATTGGCTACACCAGTGGTTTCCGTAGCAACTCCTACTTTACCAGGACAAGGGATGGGAGGATATCCATCAGCCATTTCCACAACATATGGTACCGGTGAGTAGCTTTGCCACCTGTAAATGTTAAATACCTTTTAGGAAGAATCAAGTTGAAGAGCATTATCATCTTTACCCTACTGGGAAGCTCGGTCAAGTACCTGCAGTGTCCAGAACACTGTATCATTACTTTTGCCTCACTGAGGCAAAGGAGTTATCTACATTCTTCTTTCTCAAGTGACTGAAAGTTTTATTTACCCAACCTGAATTCAAAATAGAACAATTTCAAGGAAATTGAGCTGTTACTGTATTTCCTTGGTGTCATAGAAAGCTCACTTGCTCAAGTTTGTTTAAAAAACATTTCTAGATTGTCAAATATGTTATGTACTGTTATACCAGGTTGTAGTGGAATAAAACCACAGCAGCAGGCTACACTCCTCCGTGCCTTCCACGAAATACTTATTTATGAAGAGTGGAACATTTCTTTTAAATTGAAATTATCCCTGGTGCTCTATCCTTCTTTCTTCCCAAATTAAAAAAAAAAAATCAAGTACAGTCCAGAATGTTTTTGAGCACTGAAAATGTTTGATCTGATTTACTGTTTGGTCCTTTTCAAATCTCAAGCTTTCCTTATTCTTTCATTTTGTGATGCAGAGTACTCTCTCAGTAGCGCAGACCTGTCATCCCTGTCAGGGTTTAACACAGCCAGTGCGCTTCACCTCGGCTCAGTGACCGGCTGGCAACAGCAGCACCTACATAACATGGCGCCATCTGCCCTCAGCCAGTTGGGGTAAGCGGGGTTACTTCCTCTGTAATGCCGTTTCAGGGTGTGTTGTTAAAATGACAGTGACAGTCTTAAACGTGTGCTTTCGTGTCTCATGAGAGTGCAAAGTGTGGCACCTTATAGAAATGTAAAGGTAATTGTCAGACCAATCCCTTTTGAGTAGCTTAAGTCCTACATCCCTTAATATTTTTAAGAGGAAGAGGAGCCCTGCACTAATGAGGCCAGTTCTTTCCTTATTGTTTTAGGCAATTTTAATTTCCGCTTCTGTGAGAGTACTGATATTTAGTTATCACACAGTTGACATGGGAACTTTGAAGGCATCTACTTACAAGTTCTTTAAGGTTTTGAGATATTTGAAATTCTCACGTGGCATGAACTATATAGGTTACCCTAATGTGAATCCTAATGTTCATCAGATCAGCTATTCAATTGATATATGGGCTTCATCTATTTATAATGTACCCATAGTACAATTGTGGACTTATAGATATTTTATTAAAATATATATACTAATTAGTACATTCAAAACTAATTAATAAATTTGGGTATAAAAATAATTTTGTTGTTTTTCTGGTCAAAGGATGTGTCTTTCTGCCCCCTGGTGGTAGTTTTGAGCTACACCTTTATCATATCCGATGATTCCTATCATTTATCAAGGAAACGTTCAAATTTTAAAAAGCCCTCAATTCAAAATTAACTCTACTTCTTTCAAATTACACCGAAAAAGCTAAAATGTAAACAAAAGGACCTGCCTTTAACTAGTAACTTTAACTCTGCAATTAATCCTCAAAGGAAAATAGGAAGATATGAGATATTTAGAGATGTTTTATATTTTAGAAGCATTCCACGTGCCTCTCCCACTTTTGCTTTACTACTAAACCATTTAGTTACAGTTAACTAGCTGTATTACTTAACTAGTTCCACATCTATGTTTCCAGGAAGGTGAGAATAAACTATGGATTAGAGCAAAAGCCACTGTCTGATACCACAGCTTCATGCTCTTCACTCTGGCTCCTGGTGGCATTGATGTTCTGTAGATTAGTGGCCTGGAAATGACGTCCTCACCCCTTCCCCACTTGCTTATATCCATCCCACTCATTGATACCACCGTCACTGGAAATTTAGCCTTTCCTGTAAATGAAACAAGTTCACATGGCATTGTTCCTCTGCTTTCTTGAAAAGATCCTTTACATTGAAGCTATATTGTTGTGTGTTGATTAGGAACAGTTTCTCTTTTTAGGACAATTAAATTTTCTCTTCAATGCTAATTATCCAAGTAGGCATTTGCTGCAGTAACTTTTTAGGTAATTATCCCTAAGTATGTAATACCCCTCCAGGTGGTTTTTAAATATGTGCATGTGGCATTGTACTACCGTGGCGGAGCAGGGAATCTACTCTAAATGCTTCTTGCCAATAATAAAAGCAAGTGTTTAGTTCTCATTTTTGCAAGATTCCTTCATTATAGCACTAGATTCACTGAGAAATTATCAGTATCCAAAGCCATACCATTTCATCTGAATATGGCTTTCTTTTTGTTTTGAATTTGTCTTTTAAATTGTGAGCACACACCTACTTCTATATTTTAACTGTGCTGGAATTTTAAAGCTCTCTTCTGTTACGTGGGAGAATCGAGTTCCCTTCTGGCCTTAATAGAGGCCCTGTAAATGAGAAACGAGTAACATCCCTGGACTAGGGAGGAGCTGAATTAACCACAGCCAAGAGGGAAGCCGTTTTGCTCAGCCCCTTGTGTTCTTCAGCACTGAATCTCGTTGCCCATAATTTAACTCTGAATCTGGCCTATGAGTTTTAATTGCACTCAGTCAATCCCTTTATACCTCATGTCATTATGATGCCCATTCCAGGCTTTTCAGTGCTGGTCCTTTCTCCTTCTCTCCCCTCCTCCAGCCCCCACTCCTATACATACACAAACCGCTCTCACATGCACACCAGTACCACCAATACAGTGACTTTTAGAAGGGAGATTCCTCCTAATGGACCCTAGCTTTAGTGCAGTTAAATGTAAAATTTCCTTTTTAAAAAATCCCAAATTGTAATGTAAATATATGCACTAATTCCTTCTAGTGTAAATTTTAAAAATCGATACTTTTACAAGTCAATTTAACTTCATAGAGTTGGGTTTGGGCCCCATTTTGGATGAAGTGCAGTATCCAAAACAAAGAAAGGAATAAATTCAATATCACCAAAGTAGAAATTCCCAGCACGCCAAGGTAGTTACTACAGTTCTTTCTCAAAATTATAGAAGCATTATAAAACTCTTTGTATTTTGTTCAAGAAAAGTGTCTATTTTGTCCTCTCAAGCTTTAAGTCTTCAAAGCTCTAGTTTTAAACTAGTTAGTAACTGATTTTATATAACAAAGTTAGATAAGCAGCATAAATTTGTTTTATGTAGGAAGAAACATGACTGGCAGAGGAATTTGTCATATCTGAGAAAATGACCCTCAAGCTTTAGGTGTTTTTCTCAACTACCACCTAAAAAAAAGGTCAGCCTGTTTTCTGGAAGCGTTTGCACACACTGTCTTTGTTGATGTGGGCGTCCAGTACAAACCGAGGGAGGTGACTCAGAGTCGAGATGACTGTTAACTAGTTAGGTTAAATATAGTTTGATGGTCTAATTTCCAGGAGAGGCAGTAAGAAATTTGAATAAAACCATCCAGTCATGTCTGACTTCTGAACAGTCTGGGGAAGGGTACATGTTTTCCCAATTCCAGGACATCTGGAGTCGAGGGAAACTTGGACAGAGCGCCAGCCTCACCCCCTCTTTCCCATCCCTATCCATCCACACATAGGAAAGCCTTCCACAACTGCCCATGTCTGTATTTCCTTCTAAAGGACAAGCGGATCTATGTGCATATATCTGATTGTAGCATGTATGAATTGAGTGGTTTTTTAATGCTGCCCTTCCTTGTCAAGGAAATACTTCTTTGATAACAGAAAATAGCTTTCTGTTTTGAATCACATATTAAAGTATAGTGAAGCTGAGTCTAAAATACAACTTAGATCCCACTTCTGCATATTTAGTCCCCAGAATTGCTCTGAAGGCTTCTGTATTCCTTCCATGTCAAATACAACGCCACCAAAAGATAAACTCCCACGGCTCTATTTATAGGAAAGGATCACCAGTCATTGTTCCATCTTTTCTGGAGAGGAGATGCAGTAATCCTATACAAACCAGTTGGCATTGGGAGATGAAGTAAATAAGGAGATAATGCAGCTTCCAAAAACCACTAAGAAGCCATTTGATTGTATTACCTCGTTCAGTTTATCTAGATTAACTGCTTATCCTGGTCCAGCCCACCAATCTTTTTTAATCTTCCATTTCACCCTGACTGGAAAGACACAATTTAAATGTCAGAGAACAGAAAAAGTGTTTATTGATATGCCACGTTATTTTCAGGATCCTAATTGACATTCATTATTAAACAGTTTTGGGATCCATAGTAGAAGTATCTGATTAAATTTTAGTGAAATTATCTTACCTAGAGCCAGGAAAATTCTTTTCGTCCAGAAATCAAAAGATGATTTCTTCTAAAATCAAATATATAGTGAAAATAGTCTACCATTATGGATCATTCTGAATATAACTGTTCCCTCCCTCCCTCATATTAATATCTTCTTGATTTAAAGATTATTCGATTAAAACTCTCAGGAACTAATATAGTAAACTGTAAAATATGTTACAAATAAATATCTCCCAGCATAAGCAGAATATTGAAAATCATATACACTCCATGTAGAATCTTGATTTAAGTGCTAAGATTATTTCGATTCTATAAGATGAAAAAGGCAAAGAAAGAAAGCCTTATTACAGAAGCAAATAATTCTCTCATGTATTGTTCTCAACATTTGCTCATCTATTAAGAAAAGGAAAGTAATTCTTTGCCAGTAGGTGGTGCTTTCGTATAAAACATCACTCAAAGATACATTCATTTCTGACTAATTTTATGCCTCTGCATCTTGAGCGTGTACTGCATCTCCCAAAAGCCAGCCCAAGTTACTCCACTGTTCCTCTGAAATACACACTCACTCTGTCCCTGCTCCTAACGACATTGTCAGTACCATCCAATTCTCTCAACAGGAAAGCAGTGTAATTACATGCATTAGGAGGCAGGCTTGCATGCCTTTGTTTAAAGTGGGTGTGTCCATATGGATAATTCCTTACTGTGACTCTTCCTCAACTAAAGAAATTGCTGTACTCTCTTGACAGTATGGTCAAGTAATACTGACTCTAGCCATGGGTGCCGCTATGATCTGAACGTGAGAACAATAAAAGTATTTTAAAATTGATGCCGGCCACGTGATCATGGCTTACCCTGATCAAAGTCACTGTGATAGCTGATTTAAACTTAAAGGCTTAATGCTTTTTCTCTTCAGAATTTCAAGTATCTAAATTCTCCCACATTTTGGAAGAAGGACAAACTAGACCCTCTGGGAATAGGCAAGGATTAAGGATCATAAACACACTAAAGTCACATTACTCCCTTCTTTACAACTGCCTTTGCTTGGGCAACACCAGATTCACCAGTTGTTACCAGTATAAATAAAAGAGCCATATCCTAGGTTATTCTGCCAGGGAATGGCTGACAGTAGTAAAGTTGAGGGAATTGTGGGAAACAGATATTTTCATCCTATGTAACTGCAAAAGGATGAAGAAAGGAAAATTATTTACCAGGTTTAGTGGGATAGAAAACCTGTTTTTAAAACAGTATTTTAAATTTCTGCGAATAATTTTCAATCTCATTCCTTCTTCCCCTGCTTTCCACTCTTCCAACTTTTTTTTCACCAGTTATGGGCACTGTGTACCATTTGATGGGTTCTATTCGCTTAAAATGTAAACTCTATGTATATGTGCTCATTAATCAGAGGGAAGTGTTGACCTAACAGTAAGCTGTTGAACCTAATTTTCTGGGTTGGAGATGTAGCTCTTGCTACTTGCTTAGCAGCCAGGAGGCCCTGAGCACCAAAAAGTAATAAATAAAGAACTCTCCGACGCCAGCGTTTGTCAGTCAAGGAAGCCGAATTCAAAGCTGACCAGTCTATCTGAAGGCTTAGAAGCCTGAAGTTTAGGACAAGTTCAGGGAGAAATTCCATGGACGTGCGGGACCCAGTGCGCTAGGGAGCCCGTCAGAGACAGCCCGGTTCCGAAGCCGGCACCAGCTAGCTCCTGCAGCTGTCCCCAGGCGGCCCGCAGCCGCGCCGCATCCCGGAGGGCGCTGGTGCCCCTCTGGCACGCTCTGGTGTCTATGGGAGTCTGTAGGCTGATGTGTTATGTAATTGTAAGTTCCTGGGGCCTCCTGGCCTCCTCCATCTGTAACTGGGTTTCCTTTCCTCCTACAGAGCTTGCACTAGCACTCATTTATCTCAGAGTTCAAATCTCTCCCTGCCTTCTACTCAAAGCCTCAACATCAAGTCAGAACCTGTTTCTCCTCCTAGAGACCGTACCACCACCCCTTCGAGATACCCACCACACACGCGCCACGAGGCGGGGAGGTCTCCTGTTGATAGCTTGAGCAGCTGCAGTAGTTCCTACGACGGCAGCGACAGAGAGGATCACCGGAATGAATTCCACTCTCCCATTGGACTCACCAGACCTTCGCCGGACGAAAGGGAAAGCCCCTCAGTCAAGCGCATGCGACTCTCTGAAGGCTGGGCTACATGATCACATTATTACTTAATAGTTTTTTCCTTGCAGTGTGTGTGTGTGCTATACCTTAATGGGGAAGGGGGGTCGATATGCATTATATGTGCCGTGTGTGGAAAAAAAGTCAGGTACTCTGTTTTGTAAAAGTACTTTTAAATTGCCTCAGTGATACAGTATAAAGATAAACAGAAATGCTGAGATAAGCTTAGCACTTGAGCTGTACAACAGAACACTTGTACAAAATAGATTTTAAGGCTAACTTCTTTTCACTGTTGTGCTCCTTTGCAAAATGTATGTTACAATAGATAGTGTCATGTTGCAGGTTCAACGTTATTTACATGTAAATAGACAAAAGGAAACATTTGCCAAAAGCGGCAGATCTTTACTGAAAGAGAGAGCAGCTGTTATGCAACATATAGAAAAAAAACACAAATGTACAGAAGTTTGGACGGACCCGGCAGTGGGTGGCCATTGGGAGTGTTAGGAACACCCTGGGCACCTGGCATCCGGGGCACGCTCACAAACCTGCAACCCTGTCACTGGTGTATGGCACTCATTAGAAAGGATCACAGACCATTAAGAGGACCATACCTATTTAAAGAAAAGAAAAAAAAGGAAAAAACAGAAAAAGTGGAGTTTGAGAGCTAACGTATTTAATTAAATAAATAAATCTGGGTCTGCATCTCTTATGAAATAAAAATATAAAAATATGTACATTACATTTTGCTTATTTTCATATAAAAGGTAAGACAGAGTTTGCAAAGCATTTGTGGCTTTTTGTAGTTTACTTAGGCCAAAATGTGTTTTTCCCCCCTTGATAGCTTCGCTAATATTTTAAACAGTCCTGTAAAAAACCAAAAAGGACTTTTTGTATAGAAAGCACTACCCTAAGCCATGAAGAACTCCATGCTTTGCTAACCAAGATAACTGTTTTCTCTTTGTAGAAGTTTTGTTTTTGAAATGTGTATTTCTAATTATATAAATATTAAGAATCTTTTAAAAAAATCTGTGAAATTAACATGCTTGTGTATAGCTTTCTAATATATATAATATTATGGTAATAGCAGAAGTTTTGTTATCTTAATAGTGGGAGGGGGGTTATATGTGTGCACTTGCACATTCGAGTAACTATTTTCTTTCTGATTTCTTTTACTCTGCATACATTTTATAAGTTCAAGGTCAGCTGTCAAAAGGGTAACCTGTGCGGTTAGAACATATCACATTGCAACACCCTAAATTGTTTTTAATACATTAGCAATGTATTTGGTCAACTGACATCCATTGTATATACTAATCAGTTTCTTTCATGCTATTTTTGTTTTGTTTTGTGCATTTTTATCAAATGCAGGGCCCCTTTCTGATCTCACCATTCCACCATGCATCTTGGAATTCAGTAAGTGCATATCCTGACTTGCCCATATCCTAAATTACATGGTTGGGTTTCAGCCTAGAATTTGATATGTTTCTTAGAAATATGCCCAGAACAGAGACGCTGTGTTGGGGCCCTAGAAACAAATGATATGGAGTTTACTGGGTGAAATAAGTTATAAATTCCCACAGAAGAAAAATGTGAAAGGGTGGGTTCTAGAAAAGAAGGAAGCAGGTAAAGGGATAGTTGCTTTGTCATCTAACTTTCATTGTTTTAACTGACCCTTAACAATCTTGTCAGCAATATAGGACTGTTGGACAATCCCAGTGTGTCAGGACCCCCAATGTCACTTCTGCAAAAAGCATGTATGTCATCTATTTTTCTTCAATAAAGAGATTTAATAGCCATTTCAAGAAATCCCATTAAAGAACCTCTCTATGTCCCTTTTTTTAATTTTTCAAGAAAATATAACTCTTGTCTAATATTCGTCTATAAGGGATTAATTTTCAGACCCTTTAAAAGTGAGTGCCGTAAAAAAGTCAATATATATTGTTTAAAAGATATTTCAGTCTAGGAATGATTTCCTTCTCTTGGAATGTGAAGATCTGTTGATGCATCTCCAGTCATACACACTGACATACACAGCAAAGAGGATATAGGCAGTAGTATCAGCCCGGCTGTATCATGTGTAGGACATTTCTTATCCATTTGTTTTTTTCTTTTCTTGCACAGTTTCTATGTGTTTCTCATTGTAAGAGGCTGCCGCTGGGTGGCAGAAGCCAAGAGACCTTATTAATGAGGCTATATTTTTCTTAACTTGATCTGCAATCCATAATTAGACCACAATGCACCTTAGGTTGTATCCAGATAGGATGCTAGCCTGCCTTGTACTAATGTTTTATATACTAAAAAATTTTAAAAATCAACCATTTCATATATATCCCACTAATCAAGGTATCCATGGAACATGAAAGAATAACATTTATGCAGAGGAAAACCAGAAAGTCATCCCTAAAAATACACACAACTCTCTCCCTCTCCCCGTCTCTCTCTGTGTCTCTCTTTCTCATACACACACATACACACACACACACACACACACACAAAAGAGGAAAAATAAGAAAATCATTTTCTTCATCAGAGACTTGATCCCATGCTCACAAGTCATCTTTACAACTTAATGTGTATTAAATATGCAAGCATATCACAAACGTTCCTCGCCATTTTCAAAACATTTTCATTTACCAGTATCAGAATCTCACCAGTGGGTGGGAAAGGGTCATTACATAAAAATATGAAGAAATAGCCATATTAATTTTTTACCTGCAATTTGCCTCAGCGACAAAGAAAACATGAATTTCTATTGCTGAAGATAAGTAAGCTAAAGTACCAGCAGAAGCCTTGGCTATTTATAGCAGTTCTGACAGTAGTTCCGTAAGAACACAAAAAGAACAGAATCACCTGAACATGGATGCCAGTCATCTCTTGTTCCTACTACTGAGTTCACACGCAGTGATGGCAAGATAGCGAAGGGATAATCTGAGACTTTCTAAAGATGGTTTAATGAGAAGAAGCACAATTTTTATTATGATGAGTCACTTTCTGTAAGCAGTCACTGTCTTATCTTTACCCTATGCCTTTTCTGTAATTTACTGTTTATTGTATTTGCAAAGCTAGTGTGGTTTCTATCACAGCAAACCCTTTGTGTCCAAGAGGTTAGGACAGAGCCCTCGGGGGGAGTATATGATTTTACCTTACCCGTCCTAGAGCCACATTTGAGACAACATTCTTCATTGCCAGTCACAGAAACATAGGTGGCATTTTACACAGCTACAGGTATTGTTAGAGCTAATCCTATTTTAAAAGATTTGGGGTAATATTAAGCTTACATACTGGTAACAGTGGTACAATATACACCAGCTGCACAACCTGTATATTGTATGCATTGGAGTGTGGAGGCTGTTCATTTCAACCTTTTTAAAAGTTGTGTTTTTTAGTAAAAGGCTTATTTTTTCCAGAGGTGGAATTTAACATTTTGTAATGATGAATATGAGAATGCCTGACATCCTTAGATTGCATAAAAGTTAACTGAAGTGAGGATTTAAAAAAAAATCCCAATTCACTTTTTAAAAGAATGCCTGCCCTCTCACACACTTAGGTATTTATTTTCCTTCCATGCCCAGCCTTTTCTTTGAGTTAGGTTTTTGACCCCTTTATCCCTTCTGTTTGCTTTTCCAGAGAGTAAATGCTTTGTGTTTCTTTCTTTACATTTTTTTTTAAAAGAAGAAGCCACTTGAACCCTCAAAAAGCCTGTTGCCTAAGCATGGCATACTTCATCTGTTCTCCTCTCTGCCATATGCCTGGGTGTCATCACTTGTGTGGCGTTAATTTCCTGCCACTAGAAATCTTCTGAAGATTGCTGGAACACTAGTGTCTGTTCAGATGCTTCTGACCACAGATGTAATGAAAGGCTTTTCTTAATATGTTTTAACCAAAGATGCGGAGCAATCCAACCCACATATCTTCTACACTCAATTTGTCCATTTTGGTTCCTTTCATAATTGGGTATTGTACTTTGCCTGCCCTGTTCATACCTCAAAGTGGTTCGTACCTCGGTTTGATCTGGAGAGGTCAGCTGTGTGGCGGGTTCCATTGTGATTGGAACGCAGCGTCAGCGCACTCTTGAAGCAAGTGGACCGGGGTCACTGTAGGTGTAGCACTTGCCTTGCTTCTAATGGTTTGCTGTATCATTTTCCTTCTTTTTTTTTTCCTTTTCCTGGGGACTTGTTTCCATTCAATGACAGTAATTAAACTAGCTTGTAAATGAGGGCATACAAGCATTTGCAACAAATATTCAAATAGAGGCTCACAGCGGCATAAGCAGGACTTTGCCGCCACTAGATGACAAGATGTTATAACTAAGTTAAACCACATCTGTGTATCTCAAGGGACTTAATTCAGCTGTCTGTAGTGAATTAAAGTGGGAAATTTTCAAAAGTTTCTCCTGCTGGAAATAAGGTATAATTTGTATTTTGCAGACAATTCAGTAAAGTTACTGGCTTTCCTAGTGATGCAGTGTCTGTGGTGTGTTTTTTAAACTCATGTTTGGCTCTTTCAACGGATTCCACTTTGTCGTGTTTTGAAAAAGCAACTTATCCCCAAGCAAAAATGGTTTTTCTCAGTTTTTAACTCAGAGTATCTGAAAAGATGGATCTGTGTATCCGTGCCCAGGAGGGGTGTGGACTGGATACCAGTTCTTAGGGTGATGCAGTATTCAGCTGGCGCGGGAAGTTTAACATTCTTTTGTTCTTATTAGCCCATGCTTGCAGGGCATAACGATCACATGCATTGCGCCGAGTCGGTCCACGTCCATAACACAGCTTAATTCTTCTTCTGCCTCTTCCCCTTCCCTCCAGGTCTTGATTCCCTTCTCTATTACCAAACGGTTCAACTTCTTATATCAATAAAGCAGCTCTATGAAGATCTTTGACTATCTGATTAAACACAAAATTTTCCAGACGTCATTATAAAAAGCAGTACCATGAAATAAGTTAAATTATTGTTCAAACCAAAAGAGGCAAAATGTATTTCCAGAAACATTTCTTTTTATCAAATGTTTTTTTAATCAAAAAAGTTTGAAAACACAGACTTTGCATCTAAATATTTGAGCAAATGAGTAGATTCAGACACATAAAAAGACTATAAAATAGTCCATGACTATGACCAGTTACAGTTTCTAAAGGGAATATCCCTTAAAAGATCGATACAGTACTGTGAAGAGTAACAGCTGTGGAGCCTCTGCTGAGGTCTGGATTGCTTGAGAAGGTTTTAGTCGCCTTCTACATACGGTACCTCTGATCTGCCTTCTTACAGGCTTAGGAAAAGAGGGAATAAAGGCTCTATCATTTGTCTGATGAAAAAAGATGGATGCAAAGATTAATTTAGAAACTGAAAAGGAAAACAAGAAGGCAGTGCTGGGCAGCCAGAGAACCTGGACTCCAGCAATAATTTCCAGAGTCTTGCTCTGGAAAAAAGAAATCTGGCTCCAGGAGACAGCATCCAGTGACAGCCCTGCTGGCAAGTTTTATTGTTCAAGAATCTCATGCAACTTAGGTGATGCATTCCAGGATGAATGAAGATGTAGCCCCTTCTTTGAGGAAACCTACAGACTCACAGAAGACAGACGCTACAAGATGCTATAAGGAAACCACTTGGCCTCCTTGGGAGTAAATTGGAGCATGTCCCAGTGTGGACACTAGGTAATACTTGATTCCAGAGGATGGGCTGGAGCAAGAAAGGGCCAGAAGGACAAGAGCAGACGCGTCTGGGCATGTGACCCCCACAGTCACACACTGGCCTGCCCTCTGTCGAGCTTGGTGCTCTACTCTGACCATCTCAAAATCCTTAGCAATTTTATCTGGGAGCTTGTGTTTCATAGTGAAGTCACATGGAACAATAGAGCCAATATCCGTGTGGAGGAGAAAAAGTAGGAAAAGGAAAAGGTTTGTGTTTTGGTAATTTTAAGAGATGGAGCCTTTTTCCTGCCTTTCCAACAAAGATTGCGACATTTTCCTTTCTTTCTTTTTTTTTTTTTTTTTTGGTACTGAGGATCAAACTCAGGTCCTTGCATTTGCAGGGCAGGTGGTAGAACCACTGAGCTAAATCCCTGGCCCTCACACTTTCATTTGTCATCAGGCTCTGCAATTATGAGAGCATCTTATAAGAAAGAAATACTAAATACAAAGGAACAGAGATGAGAAAGGGAGAGACAAATGTACAGGAATTGTGGACCACACTCTGGGGATAAAGTGCAGCCCTGAGGAGGGGAAGGGTTAGAAACAAGGTGGGAAGGGTTGGTTGGGGGTCTGATTAATTGCAAGTTAAGATGTCTTGGGTTCAAGAAATCATTTGAGGGCCAGGGATTTAGCTCAGAGGTGCCACACCTGCCTGGCAAACACAAGGTCTTGAGTTCAATTTCCAGTACCAAAAAAAATTATTTGAAAGGTTTAATGGAGATATAATTGTCAGAACCCAGCAAATGATTAAGTTAATGGGAGTAAAGGTTTACAGTTCTGATCTTAAATGATTAGGATCCTAGTAATACACAAATTGGAAATGGAGAGGGCAGTACCACATGAGGAAGGTAACGAATTCCAGTGTCAGCATGTGGAGTTTGATTTCTACCCATAGGAATGTTGAAATATAGACTTGCACTTGGGGTTCGGTTAATGCCGAAGGTAAAGTAAGAGGGAGGTAAGTGGGAAAGCTAAGCCCGTGAATGAGCTTGTCTAGGAGAAAGGCAAAGGGAGAAGGAAGAGGTAGCTCAGAAGAGAATGTAGAAGACGGAAGATGGGAACAGGAGAAAATATCCAGAGAAGAGGTCAAAACCGAGATGTCAGACGAAAGAAAACCAAAGCACAGCCAAGGCAAGGACAGGATTCAACAACAACAACAACAAAAAGAAGACACAGCAGTGTCAAAGGCTTTATTGGGTCCAGAGGAGAGGAAGATTCTGCTTGCTTTTGAGTGAGAGTTGGGGTAGCATTTCAGTAGAATGGTGCGGGAGGCAGGAGACACCCCCAAGAGGTTGTGTGGCAGACGTTGAGAAATCTCTGGCAGAAATTAAGGACTAATGTTTCACAACCCTTGGCGAGTAAAGTAAGGGAGCTGGTTGAGGGGCCTAGCGGGACCCAAGACCAGGGAACAAAGGAGGTTTTTCAAAAGGACAGGTGGTACCTGAACATGTTTACAGAAAAGAAGGTCTAGTGACCTTCCTGAAGCAAAACGCAGATGTTGACCATCCCAACCAATGACCAAGGATGGCACTTGGTGCCCCAAGGCCCAAATTGGATGCAGTTCTTTAATTTCAGTAATGTGTGAGGGTCTGGATTAAATAGAGTCACTGAAATTGACAAAGGGAAATTGTTCAGGACAGAGCATCTGAATTTTCATTTTGTGAACTGAGGAGATGCTTGTTGCCATTTTGTTTGCCTCGTACTGTGACGTCTTTCCCATGTGTTACCTGTACTGCCTTCTAAGAGAGACCCAGTGATGAAAGAGGAAAGCAAAGTCCAGTTCCCCCCTGGCTCCCTTGAATTGCAATGGACCCTGTGACCTGAGACAAATGTCTGCAACTCTCCTTCATCTCTCCTCTCTCAGGCACAGCCTCTCTCCCAGGGGACCTTTCCCTAAGAGGCAGAACTGGGAAAACGAGAGGGACAGTATTCACAGTTGGTGGCCCTAAAGTTTCCGATTTGGCTACTAGTTCCACCTCACCCAGGCTTGATTGCCTCAGACTCGGGAAGATCCTCTCCTCTACTCCTCCCTCCTAGACTCCTCCCTACCGGCCAAGTCTTGCTGTCAGGCAAATGCAGTGATGTGCCAAGGCCCAGCTGAAAGTGAGGAAACGTGAACCACCAGTGGGGCGATTCCATGCTGCAGGGCCAATAGTTAGGCCCTCCAGAGCCACAGTGCGGGTTCGCATCAGCTCCACTGACCTGTCCTCCCCTCCACATGAAGGGAACCAGTGCTGCGGGCAGGGACAACCTAGCAAACAGAAGCGGGAGCTGGTCTGCCAGTGAGGGCGCAACACTCACACACTGAACACGTCCGCCCCAAAGGACGTGGCCCACACTGCCTTCTTTCACCTTCCTGATGGCACTGTGACAGGGAGCAGGGTTTCCAGAGTTGCTGGCTGAGAAGCAGGCCAGCTTGACCCCTCACAAGTGAAGTAATATTTGTCAAGTTACTGATTCTCTTTATGTACTGGTTTTCTGTAACAGCCAGGGTGTGTCATTAACTCTCATGGTGACCCTGAGACTGTAAGAATGTATGGGTGCCGATCCCCAGAATGTGAGCTACTCTTCTGAAAGTCACTTCACTCCACTATGTGACACAGTAGTAAAAGGAGGGTGAGTTTTCTATGGTGGTGTCAGTGTGCTTTTTAAATTTTTTCTTGATGACATCACATCCTTTCCCGAAAGACAATTGGATATACCCGTTTTGTTGATGCTCACAGCACATCTGCCATGCAAGTTTTCAACTCCAAGTCTCTAGCTGTCAGCACTAAGTCTATCAGCACAGACTTTCTAGGAGCAAAAGTTGCAGAGAATTGCCTCCTTCAAGCCTTTATTCTATCTATATAAGATGGTATTTTACTCTCTCCAAATAAGAGCCCTGCCTGGAAACACAAGCCTGCTTGTACACAAGAGTTCACATGTGTAGAAGTTTTAATTAAAACATAGGTAAAATGTCCATCTGTAAAGGGTGCTTAAATAAATGGTAGTGTGTCTGCACAATGGAATATTCTAACCGTTAAACAAGCATGAAACCAGCCAAAACCTCCATCCTGATAGGGAAGACTTGCATCATTAGATCGAACACAAAACAGTAATGGAATCACATATACAGTAGGTTACATTAAGAAAAAGGTTGAAGGGGAAAATAATAAATGCCCTTATATTTGCATAAAGACTGGAAGGATATACAAAGAAACCAGTTAGTTATGGCTAATTGGTGGCAGAGCTGGGGGGTAAAAGAAAGACTTGACAACATATTCTTTTTAATATTGCTTTGGTATTTGAACTATATAAATATGCTACTTATTTTTAGCAAAAGGCTTTAATTTAGGGAAAAAAGCCTTCCGCAGAAACACAAATTCCACCCCCCAAACGCTTTATAGGAACTTCTCAGACTGAAGAAGGCTTTGGAACTGTGGAGCCCAGAGCAGGCTTGGGCCTGACAGCTTTGCCTCCTGCCTTTCCAGGTTTAGAAAGACTCTGTGGCCTTCTGTGGGTGGTAAGACTCTAATTTTAAGGTTAGTACTTTGCCTATTGGTTACATTAGCCAGCCAAAGAACAACACCAAAGAGGTTCACCGTGATTGAACCAAGATTTTCCTAAAACTATTTAGGTTTTCTTTGCCATTTTCCCAGCATTATTTAGCTTGGATTCAATATTTATTTGCTCAAAAACATACTTATCCTACTGGGGCATCTAACATTAAGACTTTAAAATCTAAGGATCTGGGCTCAATATCTGTGGAACTGACAGCTACCTTGTTCATTTGTCCT